TGATTGAACCATATTTATTTTATTGTTTAGAAATTTGGGGAGCCACTTGCAAAACTTTTACACAACCATTGATCATTTTGCAAAAAAGAGCATTGAGAATCATTAATAACAGTAACTATAGAGATCACACTAATCAATTATTCATTAGATACAAAATACTGAAATTTCCTGACTTGGTAGAGTGGAAAATATTGCAAATAATGTACAGAGTGAATACAAGTAATCTACCAACTAATATTCAGAAAATGTTTCATAAGAGAGTAAGTGGGTACATGTTAAAAGGAACTGATGTCTTTGAGAAACCTAGATTCAGAACCAAAGTGAGGGAATGTAACATTTCTGTAAATGGTGTAAGATTGTGGAATGCCATTAACAAGGAATTTAAAGAATCAACTACACTTGCAATATTTAAAAAATGTATAAAATCTAATGTATTTAGTAATTATGAAAAGAAGAATTATAATGTCAAAGATTAGACGTGAAAATATTATAAAGTGACCGAGGTTATATTGTGTTTGTTTGGCGGATAATTTTATTTCGTAAAAAGGGGCAGAAATCATAAGATTTTTTCTTCTGTCTGCTCCTTTTCATTCAAATGTTTTTTTTTCAATATGTTAATGTATCCTGTATTTGTTTGTGTTTATTTTATACATTGTGAATGAAATAAAAGATAAAAAAAAAAAAAAAAAAATGAATGGAGGAGAGGCGATGTTGCCTCCCGTGTGTCGAGCCCATAAATCTGCCCAATAAATTGCGGTCAGACGGATGTAGTCCTCCACCAGCCTTCACCGGTCCAGGCTAGAGCCTTGCAGGTGAGTTTTTTTAACCATCTGTCTTTCTTTACCTTCTAGTTTTAATATGTAATTATTTTAGCTTATTGTTACACGTGTGTTGCTGCTCTTAAAAACCACTATAAATACATTAGCCCTTTCTATATATTTCACATAGCCTCCCAGCAGCAGTGTGCCTGACACTGGGACCATGGTGGGAATTCCACCCAGAGCAGCTTCTACACTCCTGAACAGACCCAGGTGTGGTGGAAAGCTTCTGAGCAGCTTCCGTCTGAATGACAGGACAAGCTCTATGAACTGATCTAGGTAAAAACCTTCTAAATAATAATATTGTACTCTGTATTCTGTTTTTTTCCTTACGTCTCAGCCTGGCAGGTCATCACTGGAGAGGAGTATCTTCCCAGACTCACACTAACACCCCGTTTTACCTCAGGGCCTCCTGATCTAACAGAAAAACCTGTAGCTCCATCCTTGCTCTGCTTTCCACGTTTCTCATCATCTCTGGAAGCTACCTCCCACAACACTGATGTTATATATGATTTTATTTTTTCAGGCTAAATGAACCCAAGAAATCTGCTGTCAGACTGATGGTTGCAGCTACAAACTGTCCAGACTAACATGAAGCCTTGCAGGTGTAGTAAAGGTGAGTTGTTTTTAATCATCATGTAATCTTCATTACAGCCTTTGAGTTTTAACATCATCTATGTTTTTGTTTCATAGCTTATTGTTACACGTGTGTTGCTGCTGCAAGCTTGGAGCTAGATTACATCATGACATCATGAAGGAGGCTACTGATTCTGGCCCTGTGACACTTGGTGACGTGTGAGCTGATTCACCTGGAAAAATAACTTTTACGTTAAATATTTTGTTTTTTTGCTATCAAAAGTAAATTAACTAAAACCTGCATTATTGCAGGACACTCAGCAAAATATGGACACTATATCATGAGGCAGGCATGCGTTAATATTCTACAAGAGCACATGAGGAGAGCAACAACACAGATTATTACTGTACACTGTCCTGGAATTGTTTTCTTTCTGCATCTCATCATTAGCCTGGCTGATCACCTGATAACTCCTGTCATCTGGTTATGACTTTACCTGAAGGACTAACAGCGGAAGGAAAAGGGTAAACACTCCAGGGGTGGAGCTACAGGTGGGGCTGGGGGGGCAGTGGGCCCCCGGCTTTGGAGGAGCCCGGCCATGAGGGGGATGAGAGGAAATGGAGGAAACTGCACCTCTAATAAAGGCCGTTTCACACGGCAGGAGCCTGCAGAATTTGACAAAATTGCAAGCTAAAACTCTCAATTCCGAGAACAATTTTATGTATTTTCCAGAAAAAAATTTCCGAAAGAAAAAGCTAAGAATTTCTTTCTAATTAAAGGCAGACATTTTCGCTACCTAAATTAAGATTTTCTGACCTGGTAAGGTCAGAAAATGTCGAACAAATACTTTTAAATTTATGAGGAAAAGTTAAGTTTAGAAAGCAAAAATGTCTGCCTTTTAAGACATTCTTAGTGTTTTCTAATACCTAATGGTCCCTTCATTTGCTAGAAAAAACTGAGTTTTGAAAAGGTATTAAGATAAACTTCAAGATTCCTGCGTATACCCTGATTCAGTCATTAACTTCAAGTTCTATGACAAATCAATAGGAGACTTGAATACAGTGTTTTCCAATAAATTATGATTGCGATTGGGGCTACGTTGTCTATGTATCACTTTTCCATAAGTAGGCTGAAGAACTGTATTGTTAAAACTTCAGAAATAATTTATCTTTAGATCTGTTTTGGAGAGCGTGTTCATTTCTGTGCATTTTGCTCAAGCACTGATCAAACTTTTGAACCGTTGCCCATTTTTTCCTGCAGAGGGGATCCTGCTAGACCAAAGTGAACTCCTGATCGACACTGAAGTCTTCCTGCAGAGCTTGTGTTTTCGACACCATGCCATTAGAAACTCCACTGAGTGCTTTCCTTCACCAAGGCCGGACCCAGTGACTCATTAATGTTGATCGGTCAGAAGCAGGTAATTTTGTGTTTCATGTGTATTTATTCCTCCACAGATTACCAGCCATAATATATGAACACATGTTGCATTCTCAAGATCTATGCTGTGGGTAGGAATAGAACAAATATGTTTATTTTGTTTTCAAATGCTATGTCAGTTTTTCTCATTGTTTATCAGTAATTTTCACTAACTTATTTGAGCATCTTTATATTTTTCTATATTTAACGGTTGCAAATGTTAAATGTAAAGTAAAATTTTTTATTTTCTCATTGTTCTGTCAAATGTACGGTAAAATACCGGCAGCTGTGGTTGCCAGGAATGTACCGTAAAACGTATTAAGTAAAAATAAAATGCTGTAATTTCTTATACAGTTTTACTGTGTTTTTTATTGTCAAAGGTTTTAATAAGGTTTACCATATATTTATTTTTACAGTAATTTGCCATAATAAGGTTTATCCTATTACTGTTAAATTAACAACAAATCAATGTAAATATTAATATAACTTTTTTTAACTGTAAGAATCCGTAAAAGGCTATGTAAAGTTGCATTTTTTACATGAAATTACTGTATAATTGACAAATATATTAGTTTTTTTTCCTACCATTATTTTGGTAAAAAAAAAAACATTGTCTACAGTAAAATTTAGGATTTCAAAACCAGTATACCATATTTTCTTTTACAGATTACAATTTTTTCACGGTATATTCCAGGCAACCACAGCTGCTGGTATTTTACCGTAAACTTGACAGTTTATTTTTACAGTGCACAGTGCAAGCCTTGTTGTGCCTCGCGAATTGTTTGGCAACCTGCAATGGTGCCCTCTACTGGTGGGTAGATGTAAACAAAAACCCAGTGTTGTGCTCATCAATATACATATTTGATTATTTTTTATTAAAATAAAGTTTTTAAAGGAAATAGTGTTCGTTCATTCTGCACACCTCTACATGCCCCGTGCAGGTATTTTTTTTTAAATATAGCTTTTTATCTAATTGTTCCATGTTCAACCTTTAAATGTCATTTAAGATGGAAGAGAGTCCGTTTGTTTGCACGGCTGAAGTACCTCCAAACCACGCTGACCTGGTTTTTAATAGTTTTTTCTGTCCAGCTGCAGATGGTTTCACCTCTTTTTCACCTCCAGCAGAAAGAACAAGCAGCTCCTCCACAGCCTTACACACATGAAGATAAGTGGCCATGGCTGATTTCCATATCCCATTAGAGGCCAAATAAAAAGAGTGTTGGAAGGAAACTGTTTTAAAAAAGGAAAAGCATTCATGGAGCAAGAAAGAGAAGTGATAAGAACGTGCGTCCCACAGCCCCAACCAACAAATGACAAATGTCATCAAATGAATGACTAACATGGGAACAAAAGCGAGACCTAATTACCAGAATGTTCTGATCTAATGAGCATGAGTTCATAGGCACCTGGTGGGTTTTTTCCTTCTCCTTAACAAGGCTATGAAGCTCAATGCTAATTCTCCACTAATGGTCCAATTAAAAGAAATCACATGGTTTTAATCCAGCTCTTCAAAGGCTTTTGGTCTGCACCCTCGCAATGATGAGGAAAACAGGAGGCAATCTAGCCAATTTAACTGTCAAAAGGGGTTTTGGTCTCTTAAGTGCAGCACAGCTAATGAGCGACTTAGCTCCAACAAAGTCCAGCTGGATTTGACATGAGACTAACACATGAGTTCAGCAATGTGGTCCAGAAACCAGGAGCTCAGAACCAGACGTTGTTAGAGAAAACAACCTTCAGAAGAGCCTGGAGTGGTTTATTAAAGATAGATAGATAGATAGATAGATAGATAGATAGATAGATAGATAGATGTGAAAGTTTATGTCTAGAGTTAGAAAGTGAGAGGAACTCTGGGAATTGTCTGCAAACCGGCACAGTTCACGCTTCACTTTACATTTCTTTAACAATACTTCAAAAACATCTGAAAAGGTCGGTAGCTTGTCTGTCCTGTAACTGCTTTCATTCCTCCAAACTGTGTGTGTTCACTGCTAACTGTCAGCTTTTCTCACACTCTCCAACCCTTCTGCTCCTGAGCTGAGGAAGGAAACATGATTGGTTTCTGACTGCAAAAGACAACAACTAAATTATCATTTGCTCGAATTCAAGTGACTTAAAATGTTCCCAGTGTATCCCATCAGACGGGTAATGGGACCGGTTCTGGACAGATGCTACAGGACTGGTGGTTGTTGTACCTCAGGTAATCTCTGCGACAGAGGATGAGGTTGGCCCGGGTGTAGAGGGTGGATCCCACCCGGCCCAGGCGGCAGTCACAGCAGGCACACTTCAAACAGTCCTCATGCCAGAACCTGTCCAGAGCCTGCAGCATGAAGCGGTCCCGGATTTTCCCATTACAGCCAGCACAGCCTCTGGGCTTCTCTCTGGACTGGAGGGACACGACGGACACACCTAGCAGGAAAATAAATAACTAAGCAGGAGCAAGACAAACACGACTTAAAGTCATTATCAAACTTTCCTCCAGTCAGATTGGAGATCTTTGATGTTTTGGCAGCTGCAGATCACTCTCAGGATTATTTTTCACAAGTTTATCCCAACAGATATTTTCTTTTACAAAGGTGTTATTATTCATCTTTAATAGATGTTATATCCCCAGGGTATCAATAAAGAATATCTGAATATATTATTTAAACTTATTCATGTAGTTGAGCACGAAGCCGTGATGCAGGATCAGCAAATGCAGCCCTGATGAACACCAACTGTTACACAGGTTTAGATTAAATGAAGAAATGCTCCTCCACTCACTCTCCTCCTTGTCCAGCACCATCCTCCAGTAGAAAGCTCACTCCCTCTCCTCCTGCAGAATAACACCGCTGTAATGAGCGCAGACAGCCTTGATGCAGCGTGTAAATGACTGGGATCAGTCTGGAGTCACTCAAACTTTAGATCCTCAGCTCCTCGTTGTCCATGAGAACAAGCCGAGGAAGCAGCCCAGTCCGAATGGATGGATCCAGATCTCTTCAGATGAGGAGTGTCCTCCTATCTGGACTGATGTCAGAGCCTAAGTATGTGTCTGCTCGAGCTGCAGTCGCTCCCCTCAAATGAGCCCTGCTGCACAAACCGAGCCTCTCAGCTCCCTCCCTCTCTCCCCTGCAAGAATGAAATCCCCCACAGTCAGGCTTTTTATTTTTTCAAACACTGCGTGCTAATTATATAAAGTCATTATGCTCAGATCTGATAGGAGCCGCCCCTCCCTCTTGGAATCAATTATTCAATACACAGTCACACACCGGGACAGCCCGGGCCTGAGGTGTTTTAGAATGAGCTTATTCAACTCCAAGGACACCAATTATCTCCGGGGCGCCCTGTAGTCAAAGCCTCCGTTTTTCTGCACGACAGATGCACGGCCCTTTGCACGCGCGTGCACATGCGCAAGCGTGTCTGCCCCTTATTTATCTAGTCTGGTGTTTTTTCTCCTTAAAGTAATAATAGTTTAACCAAGGGAAGAAGTGTGCAGTACAATAGAACTATAGGGCACAATAAAAGTCAGGAGCAATTCAGGTTTTTTTCATTCTGCAACAAAATCAGAAGAATAGTTTAGTCTGCACAACTGTTGGAGTATATGAATAATGTAAGCTTATTAAAAACATGAAATGCTACAAACATTAGCTTGGCCACTCTGGTGATGTCACTGTTTCCACATTAACATTACAGGAATGGCTTCAGAGGAATCTATAGGAATCTATGACTGAGTTACTGAAATAACACTACATGCCTCCAGATTCACCCTAAGCCCCACGCCAGCGCTGCTGACATGAGTGATGCTATGGACAGAAAGATAAAATCCATTCAGACCAGAACCTCACTCCACTAAAACAGCTTCTTCCTCTGCTGTAGGACTTCTGAACACCAAATAACCATTAGAACCATAGATCTGCACTAGTCACTTTCTTCTTTATTATTAAGAAACTTTTTTGATGCATCCCATTTTTCACTTGCTTCACTTGTATGTTTGCATCATTCCACCGAAGCAAATTCCTATGATGTGAGACTCTCCCTTATTTAGCAATAAAACAGGACTCTGATTCTGATTTAAAAAATATTGTAATGCACCTGTTTAAAAGTGGGCCACAAACAGGAAGTGAAAGCCTCTGTTGAAGAACCATACATTAAACTCCTAAATCAAACAGCTGTGTGATTTTTTAAAGATAAAACTTGTTTTAAAGGTGCATTAAGTCATTATTTTACAGTGAAATAATTACTAAACAGTCTAATGTCTCAATCATGTTGGAAGGAAACAGATTGAAAAAGATTTCCTTCTCAGATGGCTCGGAGTTTGTCAGTTTTTGTCCTTTTAAAAAGGCAGATGAGGGTCTTTGTTTACAATATGTCCCACCCCCATACTTCCTGGTTCTAGAGCCAATCATATTTGAACCCGCTGGGTTGCCAAGTCTAGGCTGGCATTAGTAATTCTACACCAGCCAACAAAGAACAGCAGTGTTGTGGAGAGAATGTTAAAGGAGCAACCCAGAAGTTATTTCATGTACCCATAAGACGCCACGGCATCTTGTTTTACTCTTATATCAAGTAAAGAACGATAGAGGGTAACACTGAGCTAACATTGAGCTAATACAACTAACATTAAGCTAACAATGCTAACAGCTCTAAAAATATCTCAAGCTAGTTTTTTTTTCATTTACCAAACACCCAATATTACAGTGCAATGTATGTATTTACTTGGCAACTTTCTGCAAATGACTTGTTTTCTCTTGTCTTCAAGAATCGTCTGATGCTGACTTGTTTGTTTTGATACATGGACTGCAGTACTCACATTTCACCACAGGAGGTCATTGTTACTTCATGCACTTTTAAAGTCAGCAGAAACTCTTTGTAACTGGATCCATTCAGACTAGCCTGTAAGTAATCTGTCCAGTCACAACTAAACTAAGATTGTTGAAAGACAACCGAGAAGATAATAAATGTTCATAACATTGCTCAGATAAACACTTTGGTGCTAGTTAATGTTAGTTGTTACTAATGTAAATGCACCAGAGTGGTGATTCCTAGAGAAGATGCTGAAGGCTGAGCAGATTCTGATTAAAGGCCCAGTGTTCCCTTAAGGAAGGCTGCTTTGGCCATATTTAGAAATTTCCTCATGCATGATTTGGAATGAAACTGCTAAATCTTGTAGACTTTCTGAAGGCTCAGTGTACCTTTTGTACATTCTTGCTGTGTTTGTCTTCTAATTCCATTTTTGGTTCTTTTTTAATACACAGATACGGTTTTTCTTTACCTTGCTGACGGTTTCGTTCGCGGCTGCAAACATCTTCAGAGCTGACGCTGATGGTGGCGTAACAGAAAAAATAAGAGCAACAATGAAAAAACACAACATAAACACACCAACAAAACCATACACAACAGTTAGAAACAGACTAGTACACCCAAAAGACAAGATACCAGCTGGACTTAAATGCGGAGTCGTTTACGAAATCCCATGCAAACTCTGCAATAAAACATACATAGGAGAAACCGGACGCCAACTCAACACACGAACAATAGAACACAGAAAGGAGTGTGAGAAAGAAACAAGTGGAAAACACACAAGAGCAGCAAAAGAAGAAGCAGAAAGCACAATAAAGAAGTCAGCCGTAACAGATCACTGCACAAGAGAAAACCATGTAATGGACTGGGACAACACAAGGATCATAAACACCGAACAACAGAAATACAAAAGATGGATCAAGGAAGCAATCGAGATAAGGAGACGTGGATGTGGGACCATGAACAGGGACGATGGAGTTTACACGTTGGACCACGCATGGGACTGCATCGTCGGAGAGGGGAGAGCGGGCAGCAGAGGGCGACAACGTCCTCTGCTGCCCGCAGATAAACGGAGAAGAAAGTGACGCCACCATCAGCGTCAGCCTGAGGAAGTCTGCAGATGCAAACGAAACTGTTAGCAAGGTAAAGAAAAAACTTCCTGTGTTTTAAAAAAGAACCAAAAGTGGAAGCTGAGTGTACCATTACACCACATGAGGATGGAAGTGACAAGTTTCCTTTTATACTGGTGTTTATAGCAGGAATGACAGAACTGACTACATTCATCATTTAAAAAGGAAGTTCTTTTGTATCTAAGGAATGTTTTTGTTATTTGTTGACGCTGATATAACACCTACAATGATTGTATCTGTAAAGTTTGATTAAATATTTGAAAAAGTAACACCATTACTGGCACTAAAAACACTCAATTGTGGCGTTTTGACAGACCTACCACAAAAGAAATATCTAAATACTAGAGAAATTATCTAGAAAACAAATTCAAAGTCAAATCCCACACCAATTTTAAGTTACTACATAGAGAATGTATGTGTTTAAATACCACCAGGCATGGTCACAGAGTGACTTTAGGTTGATATTCAACACTGCAGATGTATTGTTAGTTCCTGCTGACAGATTGTTGGTACATTACAAGGATTTTTCAGTGGGTTTTCTGAAGCCAGTATTCCCCCTAATCCATAAACATCCTGCTTCGTAATAGATCAACCGGCCCTAAATCCTTCTCATTAGGCGCTGTGGCACAAACAACTGTTCTAACATGGCCCCTGGATCAGGTCACACTAATTAACCAGCACCATCGACCGACTATTCCTCATTATCCTCCCTCTCATCTGATGGCATATAGGCCATCAAGACAGCTAACGATCAACGGACTAATTATTCAGCTGATGAGGTGCAAGTGAAGCTCTGCGTTCTTTTGGGAGACATGTAGGAGCTAATTAGTTCAATTATTAATGCATGTAATTAAATATTTTCTGTGGATAATTGTAGTTACAGCCTTGCCTTCCACCGGCTGTGGTGATAAATAGATGTGCAGCACGTTGGACCCTTCTTGTCCTTTATTTTGACACTCAGTAGCTCCAGTGCAGCGGCTGGGCTGAACTAAACACTGCAGACTATTAATGGGCCCGGATCCCATTAGACTAATTGCACTAAAAGCAGTCAGTGGATGACAGTAAAGGTGAGCTGTGGTTCTTTCTCTAATTAGCAGTCTGTGGAAACAGGAAGCCTCTTTTGCCATCTGCTGTAGGTTGCATCATGTCTTCTGTGTGAAAAGGGCAGAGCCAAATTTAGGCATGTTTTGTAAAGGGGCTGTTTGTCTGATATAATTCCAGGAGAGGTTGGATCACTTTTCAAAGACTAACCTCTGAATTCAGAGGACTCGATACCAGAAAACACAGCAAACTGTATCTGCTTTAGTCTGGGTGTCCCTCCATTCTTTTATTTTAAACTTTAATGTTTAAAGAAGAAAGAAAGTTTTCTAGTCTTGAAGTTCTTGATAAGTAATTTTAGATTTATCCCATATTACCTTAAAGGACGACACACAGAGAGAGAGAGAGATTATTTGTAATGCCCATGAATCGCCATGCGAGAGCTGGGCGCAGAAACCCCTCCATGGAGCTAACCAGCCCCCCTCTGTTCCCGGGGAAAACCTTCAGGTCACCAGCTCTGCATGCCTGGCATCTCCACCAAAATGTTAAGTAATTACATGTGGGGTAATATTTGCCACCAGCTCAGTGGTCTAGTGGTAGAGTGTCCGCCCTGAGACTGGGAGATCAGGGTTCGATTCCTGGTTGGGTCATACCAAAGACTTTGAAAAAATGGGACCCAATGCCTCCCTGCTTGACACTCAGCAATAAGGGTTTGGATTGGGGGGTTAAACCACCAAATGGTTCCCGAGCGCGGCTGTGTCTGCAACTCACCGCTCCCCCAGGGGATGGGTCAAATGCGGAGAACAAATTTCGCACACACATCAGTGTGTGTGACAACTAATGGGACTTTAACTTTAATCTCCATAACCCTGGAACCTGAAATATCACACATGACAATAAGGGAGACATTTTACCCTGAATCCCCAAAATAATGGAGAGTTAACGCAGGGAAAAACCTCCTCCGAGGCTTTTCCCCCATCACTCCCAAGTCTCCTCAGTTTCCCAGGGGCTTTATTCAGCAAAAGGATGGGGGAGAAGATGGGCCTTCTCAGGTTACAGAGGTACAGTTTTCAGTTGGAAACCCACAATCAACATCCTTGCTCAACCTTTCATGAACAGCAACAGTTGGCAAAAACAGAGATTCATTTTGTGTTAATAACACAAAATGGGCATCT